CGCGCTGCGGGGAGGCGCGGGGGGGGGGGGGGGGGCGAGCGCGACGACGCCCGTCATGCGCCGAGAGGCCGAGTGGATGACGGAAACGCGACGTCGCTGCCGACGGATGCTCGGATGCGAAAAATTGAGACATTGAAGCGAAGCAAGGAAGTCGCAATCAAGTCCACAAAGACCCCTAATTCATCGAGGACGACAGCGACAAGTCTGTTGACGATCTTTGTGTCTTGGGCGAGGACATGGCCGTCATGGTGCGCGGCTTCCATCCCGGAAACCTTCGAGATAGTGGCGGTGATGGCGACTGCGAGACTGACGCCGGCCATGCGCATGCATATAAGAAGCCAACTTGGGCAAGTAAGTATCCTTAGTCTTATCTCCAACAGTGGCCTGGCAAGGAAAAGTAGCAATGCGTGCTGGAGCTCTGTGGAGGAATGGGAGGTATGTATGAGGTGGCTCTCGCATGGGGTCTGCCCTCTGCATGGGGGCTGGACATCCGGGCAACCATCGTGAACTAGGGCGACCCAGACGTCCAGCGAATTGTTGACCTCTCTTTGGAGTCATGATATGTGCTGGTTGCCATGCCACATCCCAACTGCAGATCCACCGACCCGAACTCGCAGCTTAACAGCAAGGCGAGCCACAGCGCGTGGGAAGCACATCGCGACGAATACCTTCCACGCATTCGCTATTGCGATCGAATTGGTTTACTGCATGCACAGCTGGACCGACGTTGGATGTGAGAGCAACCAGCCACTTGCAGGATCAGCGAACTACAGCCGTGGACTCACGCGCAGAACTGATCTCGCTATTGCAGGATTTCTTCGACCAGTGCAGGGCCAACCCTTATGGCGCGGCGTCCCTGCGCGTGGGACTACGGAAACTGTTGCGAAACGCTTGGTTTATCTGGGCCCTGCCAAATGCGCCGATGCAGCGGGCGCCGAGAACGCAGTCTGAGCTTCGAGAAGGAACTCGTCCGGGCCGCGCAGTGCATGGGGAAGCTCTGACACGTCTTCGTCGGCGCCGCTATTCAGCTGAAGATTATCTCGCCTCCGGGTTTGTCGTGAGGGAAGTCGAGTTTGCGTTGCCCGGCGGCAGTCGACGCGTTTCCTTCTACCGCGGCAGGACGTGCGGATCCATTCAGACATCTCGGGCTGCGCGCCCACTTCGACTCGACCGATCACCTCGACGTGGACAGGGGTGTCCTGGATGCGCGGAACCCTGTCGCGCGAATCGCCCGCGCCGTTCTAGAGATCCCCACGGTTGCAGGTATTGCGATGCTATATCAGTCCACTTGAAATGTGAAGCGTGCAAGAATGACTACATCAATCGAGGGTATGGCCAGAGCTTTGCGAGTGGTGAATGCCGACTCGTTCAGCCCATCAGTTGGCCACCTGGGCGCGATGCTTCCATGCCGCTTGGACCTAGGTGCGGTGGGGGCCGCCCTGACATGCTCGATCCTGGAGGTGGGCAATCTTCGGCAGCCACTGGAAGGTTTGGCGCGCGTCCTCGACCCCCGCGACCTCGGGCGATATGGTGGCCCTACAGCAGAGGAAGACAGCGCTGCGGCCTCGAGTTCCGAGCGCGGTAACGCGAACGGGTCCCGGGTTGATGCTCCTCGCCGCCCTTGGTCCGTGTGCCAGCGAGGCAAACGCCGAGCGCCTAAGGGGGCCCGAGCAATGCCTCGATCGTCAGATCGCGGTGCGGGCCCCGGTCCAGACCAGTTTGAAACAATTTTAGGAGCTCCGACCCAGCTGTGATCAATAAAGAACCACGCGCGCTTTTTTCGCGGTTCCTCCATGCGACAGATCCCAACATGCGACTCATCAGATCTCGTCTTGGCTTGGGCGATTCCAGACTCAACGTGGTCAATCCCGTCGTGGGCGCCTGCAGGGAATGCCGAGTATGGCAAGGTCCCCGCACTTCCGCCGTGCCGTTGATGCGTTTACAAGGGAAATTTGACGAGGAGGTGGAACGTTCTTCTACGCGGAGCACATCGCCATCCACGTCGTCAACAGATGTTCAGGAGGGAAAGAAACACACAGACACAATTAATCGTCGATTCCCCAGAAAATATAATAAAATATGGGAAGTGGGGGGGGGACAGAAACCCAGAAAATATAGGAGAATGTGGGGAATCTTTCTATCGGTGTGTATTTATTTGTATGTTTGTGGGCCCCTTCAGATGTGTCAGGTACGCCTGTGATCTTGACGCGTTCAAGGGCACGCAATTTAATGCTTTATAGCTGTTGGGTTCGAATGCGGCCGCTCGGCCACGGTGATGCACTGCGGCGCAAGCGGCAGCCGTGGCCGAGGTCAACAGGGCGCTCAAGATGAAGACGTAGGCATATTGCGGCAGGCATCCTGCGCGGGCGATCCGATTGAATATCATCGCCCCAGCATCGCCGAAGACGACCGCGCGGGACTGAATGGCCCGTGTACGGTTACCCAGGTCAGCGAAGGGAGGGAACGGCTCATTTCCAGAGCAGGAATCAAAGATATTGTAGTCCAGTTTCCCGGTGCATGTTGATTTTGTTTGTGTGTGTGTGTGTGTGTGTGTGTGTGTGTGGGGGGGGGGGGCGTCGCGGTCGAAGATTTTGGCGCGGGCAGCGCGGATGTGAGGGCGATCGTCGCGTGCGTCGCTGCTCTGCCCTCGTGGCGCGGCCCCCATCGCGTCCGGTTGCTCGCCTGAGCGTTTGCCGGTGGGCCCTTGAAGCCAAGCTGCCCTGCAAGGTGCAGGTGGCGCTGCAGCTTGCCATCAGAACGCCATTCAGGATCGACATGGTCATTGCCTTGCGAGTGGCGAAAAGCGTTAGCTCGGTACCACCGTTCGGAACAGCAGACAGAAACGCGCTCATCTAGTATGATAACGACGCCCAGCCAGGATTTCAGTTCTACGATACAACTGACGCTGGAAGCAATCATGCTCGCACCATGCAGGGCTTGATCGCGTCCTTTGCTAGTCGCTCGTTCGACGAGGGCCTCGTCGGATTTTCAGACGTGGTCGCTGGCCTCCTTCTCGGTGGCAATCGCGGAAACGCGACCCGCGCTGAAATGCCGCTTTTACCAGAACAGGAAGATGGGCGAGCATTCGCGATTGAATGAAGGCGAGGGCGAGCAAGGTTAATTCGTTGCGATTCTACAGGATTGCACCGCGATCTCCTGGGCGGTGAATCTCAGTGCGAGGAGGCACTGCCCTTTACTGAACGACTCCAGGAATTGTGCTCCATCCCTGTTCCTGTGCTGCCCGCGAATACGGTGCTGGTGCCTTATGTTCGTGAGGACCTGTTCAAGGCAGACTTCGTACACTTGCGTGGCCATGAACCAGGCGAGTCTCTATTTGCTCGTGCGCGCCCACTGGATTGGAGGATGTCCATCACTGTGCATGATGATGCCGGCGATCGGTTGCATGATCTTGATCCAGATGACCGAGGAAGATTTGCCGACGTGCCTTATTGGAGACATGGCGAGGCTATTCTAGAGAGAGGTCAGCTCGAAGCTTCGCGACCTTCTCGCTGAGCAGGACGTCCCAAACATCTCCAGGCGGGTCGCCGCTGCTTGCTTCTCTGAGCCTTGAGCACGGTTGTATAATCGGATCAGCTACTTCCCTTATCCCAAAGCGTCATGGTTCCAGGGATAGCTTACAAGTGGAATTTCGGCAAACGGCTAGGGAAACATTGACGCAGTTAGTCGACTTCGCCTTGCAGGGCGTGGTTTCATGGGTCATGGGGGCCTTCCTTATGCAAACCAGTGAAGCGGGCTGCCATACGGATTTGACCACTGCCTGTTTGAATGTCGACAAGGCACTCTTAAATGAAGTAGCCGAAGCCACAGGTGAGCAGGAACGCGTTGTTTGCTTCTCCGTGCCACTGGACAGCTCGGCCGTTTTAAGATTTTTTCGAGGGTGTTTGAGGGTTGCGGCGAATCAAGACACGATTCAAAGTGCCTCAAACCTGGCACTGTAGCTAAGGGTGATCCTCAAGCATTCTCGCTAAGCTTCACCAACATCGCGGGGATTTCTGGTGCCAAATCCATGTCGGATAATTCGAAGTTCGAGGCTGCTACCGACCTGCTGATGGTCAGGCCTGTTGATGATATCAGTGTGCGTGGCAGTGCTTCACGCATCGGCGACTACGTCAAGCAGGTGTTCGGGCAATGCAAGCTGAACAGCGACGCCTACACGAAGTGTGCCGCGCGATGCGCCATGAACGATGACGGGGGCGTGATCATGGATCGATATGGTCATAGCAAACAACTTCGCCCCAGTGCTGATTCTGATCTCGTTGGGGCCTCCGCATATGCTGCGGCTCGTCGAATTGCCAACGATATGTTTGTTATCCTTCGCGGAAACCTAACATATTCAGCATGACTAGAGTCTGTTGTATTTACTCGCGTTGCATCGTATCCAGGAGCCAACCGACATACAGGAACGGCGTTTTAATTCCGTTACCCGTAGGGTGTTGCAGACCCCCAAGAAGAAAACGTATCGGTCGTTCAGTCCATGTGGGGCGGTTGTTCTGCACGGCGTCTCTGGGCGCGCGAGACTCACTGGCGAGAAAGCTCGCCCCAATGGTCGACGCCGATCTCGCTTATGGTCCGTGCCGGCCGCCGCCGATGCGCGAGGATGGTCCACGAATCGTCGATGACCAAAGCGGACGATCACCAGGAGCGACGCCGTCGTCTCCGCTTTCAGTCTTTGTCATGATCATCTTTACTTTTTCACCCATGTTAAAAACAATCCATGCTCAACCCTTGCCCGTTGGTTTTCATGTCATAACCCGGCTCTCTCGCGGCCCTTCGGGACGAGCCGGGTACCCCCCGGAACGCTCTCGGCGAGAGGCGCACTACTGGAAGCCAGCCCCAGACATGGGAGATCGCCGAGAACCTACGGAAACGCCCGAAAACCTCGAATCTCGAGCCCGAGACGTTCCCCCCCCTCCCTCCCCGACCGCGCCCATCCCGCTGCGCAGCGGCGGAGGGCGCGCGGGGGCAGTGGCCGGGCCCAGGTCGCGTACACCAGCCTCGTGCTGCTCGGCGTGCGGCGCATGGAGCGGCAGCCTCCGGTGCGGTGCCGCCGCTCAGACAGCACCCCCGCAGGGCACACTGTCACCCGATCGATCCGACTCGATATCGATTCGATATCGGTTCGGTATTGATTCGATGTCGCTTCGGTATCGCTTCGATTTCGATTCGATATCGGTTCGGTATTGACTCGGTATCAATATCGGTCCGATCGGTTTGATTCGATCGATCTGACCAATATCGATTCGACTGCAGGGATCGATATCCGATATATCCGATTCGGTGGCGAGTGCGACTGGCCCGACCCGATTCGATCCTGAGGTTCCGACGGCCCGAGGCGGGCCAGTGCTCGCATGACACTGTCGTGCATTCTGCCGGTGCCGAGCCGATCCGAATAGATCTCGACTCTGGCAGCAGGTGGCGCGGTGGATCTCGATTGCGATCCATCGGCGCCCTCGTGGACACCCACCTCTTTGCGTTGCGACAAATCACGTCGGGAGGTTTCAGACAATTTTCGGCCTCTGCGGGCCATCGCCGTCCTCCCCGCTCGCCTGCGCCGCCGCCGCCGTCGTCGTTGCCGGTGTCTGCGCGGCGCCTTCTTGCTCCGGAGCCGCGCCTCCGGCGGCGGAACTCGTCGCTTCACTCGTTTGCCGACGCACCTCTGACGTGCACGGCTTCTCTCTCTCTCTCTCCCTCCCTCTCTCTCCCTCTCTCTCCCTCCCCTCCCCTTCCCTCTCTCTCTCCCTCCCTCCCTCTCTCTCCCTCCCTCCCCTCCCTCTCTCTCCCTCCCTCCCCTCCCCTTACTCCCTCCCTCTCTCTCTCTCTCTCTCTCTCTCTGGGGGCCCGCGCCAGAGCGATCAAGGAGGAAACGCTGGTTGCTGGTTCCAGGGGAGGGGTCCAGCCTTCTGAACGTCTTCGTTGTGAAAAAGTCACGACGTCGGAGTTCTGGGAGAGGTACGGTAGGCTCGCGTCGCGTTGACGCGGCGGCGACACAAGCGCAGGCGTTTAAGGCTGAACGTCGCCAGTTGCCTGGAATCGGCCGACATTGAGCGATTTGCTTCAAGACCCCCAAATCTTTGAGACACCGACAGGAAATCAATGTTTTTGCCTCCTCGGGCTCTCCCAGATGGCCTCTCGGAGCCTTTTTGAGCCGTCTTGGGGGCCTCCGTGGCCGTCTTGAGACCGTCTTGACAAGCTCTTGAGCTGTCTTGGGCCATGCTGAGCCGTTTTGTTGTCATCTTGGCTGCCTTGGGAGCCGCCTTAGGAACCATCTTAGCCGAAAAGAGCGCCGCAGAGCAAATCGAGTGAGGGCGGTTCTCGGACCACGCGGGGAACCCGAGGAACCAAATCAAATGACAAGACCAGGGAAGCCGGGGAACCCGAGGAACCTCCGAGGAACGGGCAACGTAAGACTGTCGGAATTTCTGCATCCCTGTATACAAAAGTTTTCAGACGGAAGCTTTTCGGAAATTTCAACGGCGAACTATTCGGCCCGAAAGCCATGACACAAGATCACACGGAAAGCCAACACAAGGCAACGAAAGGAACAACGCAACGCCGATAACAAGGCCAAACGGAACAACTCGAAGGGTGGTCTTGGGACCCATCTCTACAATACACACATCTGCACATGTAATGCTTAGATATCGTTACGGTGTTGGGGTGGCGCTGGGTGGGCGGTGGGTGTGGCTGGCGGTCGCTGGTTAGTGCTTGGATGGTTGATGCGTATTGGTGGGTGGGTGGTTGCCAGGTGGTGGGTGAGCTGGTGGGCGGTGGCATGTGGTTGCTGAGCTGTCTGATGGTTGGACGGCGGGAAGCGGATGGAGAGAGAGAGAGAGATATATAGATCGAGAGAAAGAGGATGATAACATTTTTGTGGTGTTGGGAAGGAGGACGGAGGATGAACAGTCAGGAAGGCGGACAAGGAGGGGCAGGAAGAGGAGGAAGGGGAGAGGCGGAACGGATTCTTCGAAAACGCATGGAGGAGGAAAGGTGAGGAGACATAGGACACCGGGGCTTCTATAGTATCCGTCATCATGTTGGGTCGTGTGCATTCCTGTCGTTATCCGCTTCACTACCATATCGTTACCACAGTCACAGGACAAATGGCGAGAACGCGAGGCAGCGGACAACCATTCGTGAAATAAGGCAAACACAGATCTTTGGCCCCAGCCACAGCACACGAAATCGTGGTGTGTATTTCGGCCGCAGTTCTCACCCTTTCGCCACCGTCGTGGGAAGTGTAGATAGCCTGGCGTTAATAACTGGGGCGACCGTTTTCTTGGCGAAGGAAAGCGGCCGTAAGATTGGCGAGATTGTTTCTCCGCGCGCTTGCTACTCCAAGGGCGCAGTTAGTAGTCATATTGTTGCGAGGCGGACGGACTGACAGCGCGCAAAGGGCCGAGGATATTCTCGCAAGCTGAGGACAACGAGTTAGCACTTTGCATTGGGCGGGGATCAATGGGAGCCCGTATTTTCCGTTGGTGCTTTACCTGGCATTTTGGCCAGGGTGTGACGATAGTTGGCTTGCTTTTGTCGCCGAGGATCTTTCGGTGGTAGTCTAACTTCGTGGATCGAGGACCTACAGTGTCATCAATTGTGTGGCTTTGAGGGGATATGCAGTTTGCAGATTTGCCTGTATCTGGGTGGGTTGTCAATTTTTAGCAAGGTCTGTGGACATCTCGATGTTTTGTCTGTGGTGCACGGGTGAATTCTATGGCCGTTTCAGTTGTTACCTAACACCGTAGACTGATAGGTTTCTAGTAGGATCAAAAGAGGGCAGCAGCTTACTCCACAGGGGGGTCTGGGCGGATGTCGGCGAGCTGCCGGGCGGACGCCGGGCGGACGAACCGGGCTCGTTTTTCGCCAACAGTCACACACTTCGTGCTCTTCGACCTCCCAGAACTCCATTCCCGGGCCACATTTTGAATAACCGGACGCAACAGTCACACACTTCGTGCTCTTCGAGTTCCCAGAACACCATTCCCGGGCCACATTTTGAATGCCTGGAGCCAACTGTAGGCCACTTCGTGCTCTTCGATTTCCCAGAACGCCATTCCCGGGCCACATTCTGAATGCCCAGAGCCAACTGTAGGCCACTTCGTGCTCTTCGATTTCCCAGAACACCATTCCCGGGCCACATTCTGAATGCTCGGAGCCAACTGTAGGCCACTTCGTGCTCTTCGATTGCCCCGAACGCCATCGCCGAATGCCACTCCTGCCACTCCTGGCGCACATTTTGGATGCCCGGAGCCAACTGCACGCCACTTCCTGCTCTTCCACGTCCCAGAATTCCATTCCCGGGACGCATTGTGGAGAACACGCCATTGTAGTCGTAGTAGTACTCGTACGCCTCTCCTCCTCCTTCTACTCGCTCCTCCTTTTTCTTTTCTCATCGACGTCAGAACCCTTGCCTCCTATGACGTCCTCCGCTGGCCTGGGTGGTCTACTCAGGTCGCGGAGGGGGATAGGAGGGGGGTCGTTGCCATGGCTGGTTCCCTCGAATTGACGACGGGGAGGGGGGGGTGCACCGTTCCCTCGGATGGGCACATCCCCCCCTCCAAGGGTCTCCGAGCCCTCCCTCTCCGTCCTTTCCCTTCTCCCTTCTACTCGTAGAGTAGTAGTAGTAGTAGTAGTAGTAGTAGTAGTAGTAGTAGTAGTAGTAGTAGTAGTAGTAGTAGTAGTAGTAGTAGTAGTAGTAGTAGTAGTAGTAGTAGTAGTAGTAGTAGTAGTAGTAGTAGTAGTAGTAGTAGTAGTAGTAGTAGTAGTAGTAGTAGTAGTAGTAGTAGTAGTAGTAGTCGTAGTAGTAGTAGTAGTAGTAGTAGTAGTAGTAGTAGTAGTAGTAGTAGTAGTAGTAGTAGTAGTAGTAGTAGTAGTAGTAGTAGTAGTAGTAGTAGTAGTAGTAGTAGTAGTAGTAGTAGTAGTAGTAGTAGTAGTAGTAGTAGTAGTAGTAGTAGTAGTAGTAGTAGTAGTAGTAGTAGTAGTAGTAGTAGTAGTAGTAGTAGTAGTAGTAGTAGTAGTAGTAGTAGTAGTAGTAGTAGTAGTAGTAGTAGTAGTAGTAGTCACGCCTCTCCTCCTCCTTTTTCTTCTCTCATCGACGTCAGAACCCTTGCCTCCTATGACGTCCTCCGCTGGCCTGGGTGGTCTACTCAGGTCGCGGAGGGGGATAGGAGGGGGGTCGTTGCCATGGCTGGTTCCCTCGAATTGACGACGGGGAGGGGGGGGTGCACCGTTCCCTCGGATGGGCACATCCCCCCCTCCAAGGGTCTCCGAGCCCTCCCTCTCCGTCCTTTCCCTTCTCCCTTCTACTCGTAGAGTAGTAGTAGTAGTAGTAGTAGTAGTAGTAGTAGTAGTAGTAGTAGTAGTAGTAGTAGTAGTAGTAGTAGTAGTAGTAGTAGTAGTAGTAGTAGTAGTAGTAGTAGTAGTAGTAGTAGTGGTAGTAGTAGTAGTAGTAGTAGCAGCAGCAGTAGTAGTAGTAGTAGTAGTAGTAGTAGTAGTAGTAGTAGTTCCCAGAACTCCGTGCCCGGGCCACACTTTCAATGCCCGGAGCCAACTGTAGGCTACGTCGTCTTCTTCGAGTTCCCGGAACAAGAAAACCTGTACCATATTTTGATGGCCCGGAGACCCATGCACTTCTTCCAAGAGGAGGAGGAGGAAGCAGCACATCCACAAACGATGCCCACCATCATCACCATCATCGTCATCACTCTCTTCGTAGCCTTCTTGGCTAGAGCCCTGCTTTCAAAGGAACTGCTCAGCGCCTACTGCACACCATACTGCCACGGCATGCTGGTAGTTCTCGGTCTGGCCGCGGTGTTCCCGACCCTGCTGAACTGAACAGCGGTGCTCCTCAGCCTGCGGCATTGAACAGTGCTGCTCCTCAGCGTGCTGCATTGAGCGGTCCTCTGCTAACGCTCGTCCAGCACGTGAAGCAGTTCGGCCGGATACCGAAGCAAAATGCAGGAACGTCCGAAGAAACACGAGCCGAAAACAAGTTGGCCAGACGTTTCTCAGACCATCGCGCCAGCATCCCCAATGACGTTATGC